CAGACAGACAGACAGACAGACAGACAGACAGGCAGACAGACAGGCAGACAGACAGGCATACACAGGCGCAGACAGACAGACAGACAGACAGACAGACAGACAGGCAGGCGCAGGCAGGCAGACAGTCAGACAGACAGACAGACAGGCAGACACAGACAGGCAGACACAGGCAGGCAGGCAGGCAGACAGACAGGCAGGCAGGCAGACAGGCAGGCAGACATACAGACACAGGCAGACATACAGACACAGGCGCAGACAGACAGACAGACAGACAGGCAGGCAGACACAGGCAGGCAGACACAGGCAGGCAGGCAGACAGACAGGCAGACACAGGCAGGCAGACAGGCAGGCAGACAGACAGGCAGGCAGACATACAGACACAGGCAGACATACAGACACAGGCGCAGACAGACAGGCAGACAGACAGACAGGCAGACACAGGCAGACAGGCAGGCAGACAGACAGACAGGCAGGCAGACAGACAGACAGGCAGACACAGGCACAGACAGGCAGACAGACAGACAGACAGGCAGACACAGGCGCAGGCAGGCAGACAGTCAGACAGACAGACAGGCAGACACAGACAGACAGACAGGCAGACGCAGGCAGGCAGACAGACAGGCAGACACAGGCGCAGACAGACAGACAGGCAGACAGACAGACAGACACAGACAGGCAGGCAGGCACAATACTTCAAATTTTGTGTTTTGAAACCTCCCGATAATGGAGGTTAGTGAGGTTAGACTAAAAGAACTACTGACTGACTTAAACATTGCTTTCCTAGCTTTAATAATGTTGGTTATTCATTATTAAAATATTCAATCATGCACCAGCAACTTGGTAAAACAACCTTGAAATTAACTAAGAACTACAATTCGAATTCAAAGTGTAGAGATTTTTATTGCAGCAAATAACTTGTCAAAACTTAAAGAGGAATTAAAATTCCAGTATATGATGTATATAGTATAGAAATTCAGAATTGAATTCAGTAGATTGGCACCATAGTCAACGATATCAGAGTCGGTATCGGCCCCCCTTCATTAAATCCAGAATTACTGCAGCAGCATCATCCAAAGAGCTAGACCTGCTGTTAACACGCAGATCACTGTTGTGTGTAATATGTTTTTAGTCTGATGTTTCTCATTATTTGAACACGTTAGGTTACTTTAGGACTCTGGGAAGCGTTCTTTGAATAAGATGCACCATTATTACCCCTCTTCTCATGCTTCCCCTGCAGGTCTCAGTGTCGACGGCTTATACAGAGTGAGCGGGAACCTGGCGGTGATCCAGAAGCTCCGCTTTGCTGTGAACCACGGTAGGACTCCTGAGCCCCGGTCTGCCCTCTGACCACAAGCATGCCTCCAAACACTGCCCCTCACACGGGAAGATAACGTTCACACTGGTGGGTCACATGCTGACCTCTCACACACTTTGTAACATTCCTCTTTTCTCCGTCACCCTGTCTTTGTTTGGCTCCCACCCCCCCTCTGTCAGATGAGAAGGTGGATCTGAATGACAGCAAGTGGGAGGACATCCACGTCACCACCGGAGCTCTCAAGATGTTCTTCAGGGAGCTCACCGAGCCCCTCTTCACATACGGGTCCTTCGAAGACTTCGTAGAGGCCATCAGTAAGTGACTTGATTCATGTGTCACGGGACCATCATGAAGACACACTTATCTCTGTCTGTCCCTACTTTGGCCACAAGATGGTGCTCTGCACACGTGCGTTCACTGATCGTCTGTTTCTCTGCTGCAGAATGCTCCGACTACAAGCAGCGAGTCAACTCCATCAAAGACTTAATAAAGAAGTTGCCAAAACCCAACCACGACACAATGCAAGGCCTCTTCAAACACCTCCGGAGGTAAGAGAGAGCAGACAACTTTACACACTGTGATCGTACCTCGTGATTCCACTGAGGGCTGCGTATTGAACTTACAAACTCAAATGTGTATTTATCGATTCATCTTTAAAGTGAATTCTTAGGCTTTTGTTATGTACAGACTTCCTGATTCTAGTCTTTCTTTGTGTTGTGTAGGTGGTTCTTTTACATTTACATTGATGTATTTCGTTGAACAAAGAAAAAAGGATTAAAATGTTTAAAATTCTGGAACATTTTAAAATACCCTGAATAGGCAGCAGGAAGCTATATTCATACACACACACACACGTGTGTGTAAAGTCTACAGGCCTTCACATCATGATGTGTTAGATCGATCAGTCAAAACGAAAGCGTAACCAAACAACCACGGTTAAAATAACATTAATACCAAAGAAAATACTTGTTTTACATCCACGAGCAGAATGACACCGGTTACATGAGACACCTGTTCAGAACCTAAAGGAGACTGTTGGACAACATCAAGGAAGTTACTCTCTCTGTGTCTGCTCTACCTCTACAACAAGTGTGACTGCTGGGTTTGACCCTTGACCCCTACCGTCCCATGCACTCGGAGCACCGATGGCTGCCGGCTGACTCTCCGTTTACCTTTCCTCAGCTTGTACGGCAAACACAAAGCTACAGGTTCCCCGTGTATTCTCGGCCCGCTGCAGCCAGCGGCAGCATCATACGTTCACCATGACATTTGCCTTGCTTTCCCATTTGCATTTATATGGCGCTGTGTTTGCTGTAATTCAGTACCTATGAAGTGCTGTTTCTCCAGGAAATTTATAGCGTGACATTCAGTGTATGGAGCTCTACGTGGATTTAATCTCTTTTTTTCCTCCCTTCCATGAATATGTTATTGTTTTGTGCATCTGCATGCAAGGATGTAGATTCTATTTAAAAAGGCTATTATGCTCTAGCCTGAAGTGTGTGTGTGTGTGTGTGTGTGTGTGTGTGTGTGTGTGTGTGTGTG